ACATTGCGGGTTTCTGGTGAACCACTTCACACATACAATGAGGGTCTCTGGTGAACAATCTCACACATACATTGCGGGTTTCTGGTGAACAATCTCACACATACATTGCGGGTTTCTGGGGACCAATCTCACACATACATTGCAGGTCTCTGGTGAACAATCTCACACATACATTGCGGGTCTCTGGTGAACCACTTCACACATACATTGCGGGTCTCTGGTGAACAATCTCACACATACATTGCGGGTTTCTGGGGACCAATCTCACGTATACAATGCGGGTCTCTGGTGAACAATCTCACACATACATTGCAGGTCTCTGGTGAACAATCTCACACATACATTGCAGGTCTCTGGTGAACAATCTCACACATACATTGCGGGTCTCTGGTGAACCACTTCACACATACAATGAGGGTCTCTGGTGAACAATCTGACACATACATTGCCGGTTTCTGGTGAACAATCTCACACATACATTGCGGGTTTCTGGGGACCAATCTTACACATACATTGCGGGTCTCTGGGGACCAATCTCACACATACATTGCGGGTCTCTGGTGAACAATCTCACACATACATCGCGGGTCTCTGATGAAGAATCTCACAGATACAATGCGGGTCTCTGATGAAGAATCTCACAGATACAATTCGGGTCTCTGGTGAACAATGTCACACATACATTGCGGGTTTCTGTTGAAGAATCTCACACATACATTGCGGGTCTCGGGTGAACAATCTCACACATACAATGCGGGCCTCTGGTGAACAATCTCACACATACATTGCAGGTCTCTGGTGAACAATCTCACGTATACAATGCGGGTCTCTGGTTAAGAATCTCATACATACATTGCGGGTCTCGGGTGAACCACTTCACACATACATTGCGGGTCTCTGGTGAACCACTTCAAACATACATTGCGGGTCTCTGGTGAACAATCTCACACATACATTGCGGGTTTCTGGGGACCAATCTCACACATACATTGCAGGTCTCTGGTGAACAATCTCACACATACATTGCGGGTCTCTGGTGAACAATCTCACACATACATTGCAGGTCTCTTTTGAACAATCTCACACATACATTGCGGGTCTCTGGTGAACAATCTCACACATACATTGCGGGTCTCTGGTGAACAATCTCACACATACATCGCGGGTCTCTGGTGAACAATCTCACACATACATTGCGGGTCTCTGGTGAACAATCTCACACATACATCGCGGGTCTCTGATGATGTATCTCACGTATACAATGCGGGTCTCTGGTGAACAATCTCACACATACAATGCGGGTCTCTGGTGAACAATTTCACACATACATTACGTGTCTCTTGTGAACAATCTCACACATACATTTCGGGTCTCTGGTGAACAAACTCACACATACATTGCGGGTCTCTGGTGAACCACTTCACACATACATTGCGGGTTTCTTGTGATCAATGTCACACATACATTGCGGGTTTCTGGTGAACAATCTCACACATACATTGCGGGTCTCTGGTGAAGAATCTCACAGATACAATGCGGGTCTCTAATGAACAATCTCATATATACATTGCGGGTTTCTGGTGAACAATCTCACACATACATTGCGGGTTTCTGGTGAACAATGTCACACATACATTGCGGGTCTCTGGTGAACAATCTCACACATACATTCGGGGTTTCTGTTGAACAATTTCACACATACATTACGTGTCTCTTGTGAACAATCTCACTCATATATTGCGGGTCTCTGGTGAACAAACTCACACATACATTGCGGGTTTCTGGTGAACAATCTCACACATACATTCGGGGTTTCTGGTGAACAATCTCACACATACAATGCGGGTCTCTGGTGAACAATCTCACAGATAGAATTCGGGTCTCTGGTGAACAATGTCACACATACATTGCGGGTTTCTGGTGAACAATCTCACACATACATTGCGGGTCTCTGGTGAACAATCTCACACATACATTGCAGGTCTCTGGTGAACAATCTCACACATACATTGCAGGTCTCTGGTGAACAATCTCACACATACATTGCAGGTCTCTGGTGAACAATCTCACACATACATTGCGGGTTTCTGGTGAACCACTTCACACATACAATGAGGGTCTCTGGTGAACAATCTCACACATACATTGCGGGTTTCTGGTGAACAATCTCACACATACATTGCGGGTTTCTGGGGACCAATCTCACACATACATTGCAGGTCTCTGGTGAACAATCTCACACATACATTGCGGGTCTCTGGTGAACCACTTCACACATACATTGCGGGTCTCTGGTGAACAATCTCACACATACATTGCGGGTTTCTGGGGACCAATCTCACGTATACAATGCGGGTCTCTGGTGAACAATCTCACACATACATTGCAGGTCTCTGGTGAACAATCTCACACATACATTGCAGGTCTCTGGTGAACAATCTCACACATACATTGCGGGTCTCTGGTGAACCACTTCACACATACAATGAGGGTCTCTGGTGAACAATCTGACACATACATTGCCGGTTTCTGGTGAACAATCTCACACATACATTGCGGGTTTCTGGGGACCAATCTTACACATACATTGCGGGTCTCTGGGGACCAATCTCACACATACATTGCGGGTCTCTGGTGAACAATCTCACACATACATCGCGGGTCTCTGATGAAGAATCTCACAGATACAATGCGGGTCTCTGATGAAGAATCTCACAGATACAATTCGGGTCTCTGGTGAACAATGTCACACATACATTGCGGGTTTCTGTTGAAGAATCTCACACATACATTGCGGGTCTCGGGTGAACAATCTCACACATACAATGCGGGCCTCTGGTGAACAATCTCACACATACATTGCAGGTCTCTGGTGAACAATCTCACACATACATTGCGGGTCTCTGGTGAACAATCTCACACATACATTGCGGGTTTCTGGTGAACAATCTCACACATACATTGCGGGTTTCTGTTGAACAATTTCACACATACATTACGTGTCTCTTGTGAACAATCTCACACATATATTGCGGGTCTCTGATGAACAATCTCACGTATACAATGCGGGCCTCTTGTGAACAATCTCACACATACATTGCGGGTTTCTGGTGAACAATCTCACACATACATTGCGGGTCTCTGGTGAACCACTTCACACATACATTGCGGGTTTCTGGTGAACAATCTCACACATACATTCGGGGTTTCTGGTGAACAATCTCACACATACATTGCAGGTCTCTGGTGAACAATCTCACACATACATTTTGTGTCTCTGGTGAACAATCTCACACATACATTGCGGGTCTCTGGTGAACAATCTCACACATACATTGCAGGTCTCTGGTGAACAATCTCACACATACATTTTGTGTCTCTGGTGAACAATCTCACACATACATTGCGGGTCTCTGGTGTACAATCTCACACATACATTGCGGGTCTCTGGTGAACAATCTCACACATACATTGCGGGTCTCTGGTGAACCACTTCACACATACATTGCGGGTTTCTGGTGAACAATCTCACACATACATTCGGGGTTTCTGGTGAACAATCTCACACATTCATTTCGTGTCTCTGGTGAACAATATCACACACACATTGCGGGTTTCTGGTGAACAATCTCACACATTTATTTCGTGTCTCTGGTGAACAATATCACACACACATTTCGGGTCTCTGCTGAACAATCTCACACATACATTGCGGGTCTCTGGTGAACAATCTCACAGATACATTGCGGGTCTCTGGTGAACCACTTCACACATACATTGCGGGTTTCTTGTGAACAATGTCACACGTACATTGCGGGTTTCTGGTGAACAATGTCACACATACATTGCGGGTTTCTTGTGAACAATGTCACACATACATTGCGGGTCGCTGGTGAAGAATCTCACAGATACAATGCGGGCCTCTGATGAACAATCTCATATATACATTGCGGGTTTCTGGTGAACAATGTCACACCTACATTTCGTGTCTCTGGTGAACAATCTCACACATACATTGCGGGTCTCTGGTGAACAATCTCACACATACATTCGGGGTTTCTGGTGAACAATCTCACACATTCATTTCGTGTCTCTGGTGAACAATCTCACACATACATTGCGGGTCTCTGGTTTACCTCCAACATTATCAAGTAAGGCTGATAACGGTTTAAGAGTCTATATCGACGAAACGTCCTCTTTACAGTAACTATTAGTTACTATAAAGGCGACGTTGGGTATAGACCCTTATATAACGAAGTTGGTATCCATAAATTGTGTCTACTTGGCATCCGTCAACTTCTAAGTCATACCTATCAAAAAATTCATGTCAGTCGACGATTTAAAACATGTGTCTCTATTGACCTACAACAAAGTTGTCCTACAGTCTAAGGGGAGATAACTCAACAACACAGTCGCAGATCCATGGAAATCACACAAGCTCCCCACAGCGATAGCCCGTTCGCGGAGCTCTCTATACTATCGCTGCCACCAGTCAAAACTCCCCACTGTGATAGGTAGCCCCAACCATGCTTGGAGTTGAACTCGCAACCGAATGGCAGTTATGTTTACAAACAAATGACGACTGTCGTGACGCCGAATACCGCTGTTAAATTACCTTTTTTTCTGGTCAATTATAGTAAGAACGTAAGGGAGAAGTTGGTTGACTTTCCGTTTGTCTGCAATCTCGAACCAATCTGATTATACAAACAACAAAGTAAATTAATCTTGAGAAACATGGTCACTCGTAAACCTTTTCAAAATTAAATATGATTGCGTTGCCAAAAACATAAACAAAAGTATAAACGTTACTACATTTGGGGTAAGAGGGCAAATTTCAAGATTCTTGTAATGGCCGCTCCCACACCGGTGGCAGCGATGTTACCGAGGGTGTAACGAAGATGTCACGCGCTGGGAAGGAGCTTGTGCCTCACAGTCTAAGTGGGGATAACTCTATGCCCCTATTTCCCCATGTAATAATTCTATATTTGTCTCTACTGCAGCTACAGGGTTGGAGGGTTCTCGCTCAGCCATCTGATCGCGGCCTTCGTAGCCACAGCAGTATTCGCCTTCGTCGTCTACCTGTTGTGGGACTGTTCCTGCAAACGGAAAAAGGACCAGGAACAACAGCGCCTGAGTCCGGCGTCCCAGCGGATCGACACCAAGACGATGTACGCCATGGAACTGGAGCCAGGCATTGTCCTCCTGCAGAGCCAGGACGGCGAGTTCTTCAGGATCCTACACGAGTACGACGCTGTCAAACACGCACGTGATTATGGAGCAGCGCCGTCTTCCGGCGTGGCTTTACAAGGGCAGACAATCCATTATATTCCCAACTATACCCGGGCTCATATGCAGACCCAGGCCTCCGCCCCCCAGCCCGCTGAGGAGTTGATGGTATGGGACGGCAACACGTCCCCACCCCCGTATCAGTAGTCTGAGCCCCGTGCCGTAGTTTCGTATCCTTATTTGCGCCTTTTTCTGAATCCGTTGTTTCGTATCTTTTGTAATAAATAAGGCTGTCCTCCAGGCGTTTTTGGTATTGAAGATTGGGACAGCGTTAACAGAGATCCTTCAGTTGATGTATTTAGATCATGTTTATTCTTATATTTAGAGCTTGGGCTAGTGCAAAAATATCGACATTTGAATTCAGAAAGGTGCGAAATTTAGGCAATGCGAAACACCAAAGAGTGCCTTAACGGTGTACATATACTTGACATATACATGGTTACCCTACTGGAAGCTACTGGTTTGAATAAAAAATGTCTGGTTTTCAATGGATTTCTTTGTTGGAGAAAACAGGTAAAACACGTGATCAGATTCTATTCTAACACTTATTCAAACCCTTGTCAAACACGTGATACTTTCATAAGTTTTTCCCCTGCAAAATAGGGAAAAAATATGAAGGTGATAAAAATAAATAATTAATTATCGGTCCGTTTGCCAAGAGAAAAGTGCAACCCTTTCTGTGACATAATGTGGTCAGAGTTCTCAGTTGTCTCAGATTAAAAAAACCAATCAGTGCAATACCTCTGCCCTGAAGCGATACACAGTTATCTGCGTACGTACACTGTTCCAACCTAAAGTGGGGCGGTCGGGTAGCCTCGTGGTTAAAGCGTTCCCTCGTCACTCCGAAGACCCGGGTTCGATTCCCCACATTGGTACAATGTGTGAAGCCCATTTCTGGAGTCCCCTTCAGTGACATTGCTGGATTATACTAATAACGACGTAAAACCATACTCAGTCAATCCAACCTAATGTATGTCGAACATTATCGAGACGACACGGCGGGTAACTATCAACATTCAATCATGAAATTGAACCTGTGTTGACGGTATGTGGACTTACGTATATAACACTATGGAAAGGATCTATAACCGCCTCGATTTTGTTGAAAACCAAAAACGAAAAACAAAACATTGGGCTTTGTAATGGTGGACTCTGATTGCTGTCATGCGGCGCAGATTGTGTTGACACTTGAACAGGCGTGTATTTAAATCTTTAAAATTAAGTGTGATGATACAGTGAGGCGCCGATACGCTAGCCGTCTGGCTTTGTCGTGCAAACTCACATCAGCTAAATTAAATTATATCAGGTGGAAGTGTCAGATTGCTCGGTGATGTCTGTCGACAATGGAGGAATTCTGTGTCGCCTACTTACAGACTCCATTATCTCACCGCGGTAATCAAAGGAAGCGATATATCACCAGACTTGGTAAATTTTAATTTCAGATATGAATTCGTTCCGTGTACATACAACTAAGAATGCTATTGCTATTCATTAAAGAGCTGTAATATTATTTCTGATTTTGTTGTTATTTACTCGTTTGTGAGGCGGTGTCGGTATGTAAGACAGCGCCTGAAGTATGAGATGGGCGATCCATAAAAAACAAAAACAATTAGAAGATAAATACTAATTTTCATTCGAGCCTCTCAAGCTAACGCTTTCGGGTCTCTAGATGAATTTCCAAGATGCAAATACTCCATAAAATCCCGGAAATAGACATACACATAGTATTTATCGATATTGTAAACCAATTGTTTTATTTAGAAAAAAACATGCGCACTTTTTAACACCCCGTACTTACTCACCCTTTGCTTTCGCTTCCTTCGGGGAATGCAAATCATATTTTCACCCTTTGACATTTGGTCATGTGACCCAAATTAGCCAATCACAACACAGAACACACTTTCTATAGGTTTACAATTGACGTTATATCATTAGTATGAAGTCACAGCACACAAGCATGACGTTACATCACTAGCATAACGTCACAGCAGAAGTTTGACGTTACATCACTAGCATGACGTCACAGCACAAGTATGACGTTACGTCACTAGCATGACGTCACAGCACATGTATGAAGTTACATCATTAGCATGACGTTTAAACGCTAGTATGTTAGGTCACGAAGTTCCCGTGCTACATGCTTTGAGGACCCGTGAAGATTCCGGGGTGGAATAGGTCTTCAGCAACCCAGGCTTGCCGTAAAAGGCGACTATGCTTGTCGTTAACCCTCTGGATGCCGAGGTTTTTTTCTGACGCACATTTTCCTAAGATCGGAAAAGTGAAGGTTGTGCGAGAATTGCGCTCACACGGCACTGGATCTACCTCTGGCTATAAAATTACGCAGAGATGGAGAACATTAAATTCCCTATTTGATGGTGTAAATTTAACTGCAAATATTAAACCGGTTTTATAAAAAGCCATTTCTAAGTGTTGTCAGAGAATTTATTCTGCGTTGATAAACAGTAAATGTCTCCGCTTTTTATCGTACACGGATAAAAGTACTGTGCGACAATTTTTATTTATTTAGGAGCTTTACGGAAACTGTCAGCGAACAAAAGACTGCCTAATATCTGAACATCATAACTACATATCAAATGGAGTTATGTGCGTATGTATAACGACATACATTCAATGCCAAAAATAGCATGCCGTAAATGACGAAAACTGATTTTTCTCTATGACGTCACAAGGCGACAGAGATATTACACACATACAAAGAAAAGGGGGCATAACTCCGCTATACTTAGCACTAGTTTATTGTAACTCAGGTCAATTGGTGAGAATTAGCTGTGGGTAAGGACAATATGTTTTCGTGGTGTTTTGTTCAAGAGGAACCAAACTATTCCAACACAAATATCGATATTGAAAGTGTATATGTTTAGTTATTAAAAAACCCCAAAAGAAATGATGAAATCGTACTTCATAAAAAAGAGGTAATAGAGAAATGGATGGCCCTATCTAACCTATAACTTAGTCCTTACATTCCAACATTCTCCTGATTGTGTAAGTGTAATTTGACTAATGTTGCACCATTATTAATGGAGCACTAGCCTTATCATCAAATGTAATGAAATACCCCCAAAATAACACCATTCCTTTTGACGTCATGGCTGGTTTTATGTCTTTGATAACGTCGGAGAAAGACGACACTGGTATTTTGATTAATATATATCTCCCCTAATTTTCGTTCATGGTATGGAAGATCTCGATGTGTAAAACGGAATTTGACGCTTTTTCGACACAACATAAAATGACTGCTTTCACCAAGTAAATAATGTCTTCAATATGTAAACAATTAGATAGTTTATCGTGTATCTTAATTGAACAAGGCACGCACCTGTTTAGCGTCAATTTACGTAATTAAACACCCAAAAGAAAATTTCAAAACAACCAAAATTATCTTCAATATTGGACATATATTTGTTCATTATTATGTTATTATTTCTCTTCATCTTGTCTCAGAATTACACAATAAAAGATGCGAAGCAAGCTCTATTGGTATATAATTATCATGATAATCGTATAAGGTTGAACCAACGGGGGTACTGGTATGGGTTTTGTTTTTATACTTTGTACAATTCTTTCGAGAAATAAAGTAAACAGTTTAATTTCCTGTGATCACAATATTGAAAAAAAGAATGAACCAATTGATTATATATAATGCAAAACGAGAGGAATAATTCGTAAATTGTTTGTGACTAACGCGCACCTGGCGAATCGTTAGATATCACTGTTCTGTGTATCAAACGACATAAAAAAAACAATTCCAAGACCAAGTCAATTCTTTCAGAGATGTGTGCATATATTTTAACGAAAAATATTATCCATTTTGTTAAAGTAATGTATTCAGTTTTAGTTATAAAATAAAATGAAACAGCTATTCATGGATATTGGTTATATGAACTTATAATAGTGACTATTACACATCCCAAGAAATACGTACATGCTGCAGTTACATTTACACTTCATCTTGTAACACTTGTCCAAAGGAAAGAAATATAGTATTTGACACTATAAATTTATCAATTCCTATGTAAACAATGTTCAAACAAACAGGAGATTATCAAAGGTTCGTTCATACGTGCTGTGGCCTATATTTACGTATGATATCGTCTTGAACATTGACAAAAATCCAAAGTGAACTTATTTGTGTGAAAAAATGTATAAAAGATATGCAAAATCGACATCATAACTGAAACTGTAAACAGCATGATACAGTGATCGTGTGCACACTCATTCAAGGACCTTCACCTCAAAGAAATTACCTAATATGTTCAACAGTGTTAACGTATGACATCACTACCTGTGACCGACTTTTACAAAATGGCGTGTTCACTGTCATCAGTAGGCGGGATTTTACGAGGGGACTTTCTTTGATTCAGGGATCGTATATACATAAATGTGACATGTAAGTAATCAGAAACATTCTGACAATCTATGTACTGTTATTTGTTGTTATATATTTTATTGAAACCAACGGAAATAGTCAGAAATTTCGATAAATACCGTTGTCGTTGTGCGTGATTTTGCGTCAGTCATGGCGTCACACAGGACAATTTCTGTTGAAAATATCAAATCATTGCAATGTATCTATTTTAAATTCCCTAATTCTTCCTACGATTCTCTTTCCATGCATATTCTGAAAATGTTGAGCCAATATCTTGAAAGAATAGACGAATGGATAGATCAAAATAGGAGAAAATGCTACACTGTGTAAAATCTGAATTTTGCTTTGTTTACATTTCAAACAAGTGCAGTTTTTCGAGCACAGCGTTCGTTTTCACACCTAACTTATTTTGCTTGATTTCATCTAGGCACTTTGTATTGGTGACAAAGACCATTGGTTATTTGATTCTAAAATGTATGAGGAATTCAAGAATGTATGTATCGCGGCTAAGTTTGAAACATACGTGATGTTACAGGCGCCTCATAACCGGTGTACCTGAAACGTGATTTTGTAAACACTATCCAATAATTTGCCAATATGGCGGAAAGTTCACATCGGCGTTCGTGTTTGCGTATTTTCCAAAACATTCGAAACGATTGTAGGGTTATCGGAGACGTTTTGGAATGATCATTGGTGATTTCATAAAATACAGATTGATTACTAATATTCTACTTTTGAAATTCATTTCTCCGAGTATATCCGAAATTTAGATTCCAAAACATGCTGTAAACAACGCCGTGAGTAGTGATTTAGCAATGACTAAAACATGGCGACAATTACGTTGTACCTAATTTTCAGAGGTCATTTTCAGTACTTTTGCTTGGCCTAAAATGCTAGTGGATGATATCACAGAACAGGAAATTTCCCACCTTAGTCAAAACTGTGATGTGTATTTGTGTGGCTGATGTATTTTTAATTGTATTCGACTTCAAAGTGGGGGTTGTAGAGGAGGGACATATATGTCCCTGTGGCATCCAGGGGGTAAAGGCGACTAACGGGATCGGGTGGTCAGGCTCGCTGACTTGGTTGATGCATGTCATCGATCCCAATTGCGTGGATCAATGCTCATGATGTAAATCACTGGTTTGTCTGGTCCAGACTCGATTATTTACAGACCGCCGTCATATAGCTGGAATATTGCTGAGTGCGGCGTTAACAACAAACAAACAAAACAAACAAACATGCTTTGAGTGTCTGTCATAAGTTTGTGTGAAGTATTGCCATGTAAACAAACTGATTGAGCATGCACAGCGCCATAGGAAGCTGTTGTGGGGTGATTCCATAAATTCTGATCGACAACCCACTCAAAACACTGGACTCAACCCATTCCGCTTCATTCAATACATTTGCTACCACCAAAGAGTTCACGTTTTATTTAGTTACGGTAGAATGGAGATAAACAGTCTGTGTATGTAATGCAGAGCTAGGTTAACTAGAGATGTAACCGCGCTAAATGTAACATTTAAAACCTAACGTTTAACGCTGCTCTACATTGAAAACGCAGTATATTTATCTCGTGAACAAACAATAGAAAATAAATAAATATAGCTCCCATTGAAGAAGTCATGCGAGTGCTGTACCGTCATACTGATGCAGTGACGTCATACTGATGCAGTGACGTCATACTGATGCGATGACGTCACTAAGCTGGTTCCCTGCCCTCGATGCGCATCGCCTACTTGCGTCTGGCTTGGAGCCGGTACAAGCCGCGATTTAAAAGCTTAGTTCGTTTAACGGGCTTCCTGCAGCTGGACTCCATCTTACCGTCGCATTGAACGATCCTGGCGCTAGTCCTGCAAGTCATTTTCTGATAAGATAAGATAAAAAAATAACAAATTTTCATTACAGTACAATGGTTACCAGTCAATTGAAGTCTAAGTGCAGACAAAGTATTCAAGAGAAATGCATTTGCCAACCAGTTACTAATTTCAATATTTTTACCATATTTGTATTTAGCACACTCAGCATACATGAGGTGTTGCAGAAATATCATCAGCGAACAAAATCTCTATTTCATTGTGATAAATACGCTTGAATATCGACCATGCAAAAATATTGTTAAT